TATGGGGTGACAATGTGTGCGTTTGGGGATAATAGGGTGTGGGTGGGGGTGACAGGGTCTGTGGAGGGGGGCTGTGACAGGGTGTGTGTGTGTGTGTGGGGATGATAGGGTGTGGGTGCAGGGGTGACAGCAGGTGTAGGGGAGGGGCTGTGGCAGAGGGTAATGTGGCCAGGGGGCTGTGACCATGTGTGTGTGTGTGGAGGGGCGACAGGGTGTGTGTGGAGGAGTTACAAGGGGTGTGGGTGGCTGAGGCATGACAGGGTCGGAGGGTTCTCATCCCACAGCCAGTAGAGAGCCCCACTGACAGGGGTAGGGAAGGGACTGTGACAGGTAGGCTTGGGGCTGTGACAGGTAGGGTGGGTGTGACAGGTGGGGCGCTGTGACAGAAGGTGGGGTGAGGAGAATTTGGGTGGGCTGTGAGCATGGGTGGAGGGACTGTGACAGGGGGTTGGGGGGGAACTGTGGGGGAGGCTGGGGAACATTGTAGGGGGGGCTTCCAGCAGGGTAGGGGGGGCTGTGAGGGGTAGGGGCTGGAGGGGCTGTGACAGGTACAGGGGTGAGGTGCCTTGACAGGGTGGCGGGTTGAGTGGCTGTGACAGGGGGAAGGGGCAGTGATGGGTGGTAGGGGGGTGGATGGGCTGTGACTGAGGGTAGGGGTGCAAATGGGCTGTGACAGGGGGTAGAGGTGGGTTGGAGGGGCTGTGACAGGGATAGGGGGTGGAGGAGCTGTGACAGGGGGTAGGGAGGTTGGAGGGGCTGTGACAGCTAAAACGTTGGCTTTTATAGAGGTGATCACACTTGCTGATGATAAATTAATCAAGGGCATTAAGCGCCTCTTAATTTCTATGGACGCAGTAAGAGTGTACTTAATTTTTCATACATGGCTTCTCCATTTTGTCTTTTTCTTTTTTTTCTTTGTTATCAAATCCCTTTACTTGATTAAAACTTTTAGCAACAAATCTAACCTTCTACATTTCTATTCCATCAGTTTTGTTCTGTAATGCATACACCCATCGACCCCCCACTGAAAGTTTAGCGTCTGGTAAAGTGATCAACGTAAATGTGTCATTTTCTCTTATTGAATACATTCTTTCAGACCATTAATCCAGAATTGTGACTGAGGTGCATTTACCACATATTCAAGGCTTTGTGATACAACTGTTGGTAATTAACTTTTATTTTCAGCTTTTATTCATTATACAGGATCATATTATGCAGAGCGAAGAAAATCAGTGAGCACATAGGACCACTAGTCAAAAATATCCCTTATTGGGAGACAATATCTGTTTACAACATATGTAATTTTGTGCTATACACCTTCTCCCCTAAAATTAAATATTATACGGCTCTTTACAATGATAAAAATATT